CTAAAGGCTATTCCCGCGGCGGATGCTATTCTTGCGCTGGACGAGATATCCTTCGAAATTTGCCTTGAAAAAAGATGATTTAGTTGAGGTGGTCATCATTCGACCAAACGAGGAGATTAGCTCGTCGTCGCTTCTGGAAAGAGCTGTCCTGGAGGACACCAAGAAGGTGCTGAACGCACGAAGTGGATCATCGATTCTGAAGGATCTCTTAAAGCCGAATAATCCTTAAGTAAAGAAATTTGAAGACGTCATCTCCAAAGACCCGCTGTCGGTCCTACCTCTAAACCGAGGTGTGCGTCTTGAAGTGAACCTGGTCTTGATAGCCAAATACTGCGTAAAACACCAATGGTCTCTGCCCAAAGAGCAGTGCGACGTCATTGACTCCCTCTTCTGTGCGAAGCATGACGCAAAAATGGTGCGTGGGAACAAGTCTTCCAATTCGACACCCGCGTTTTGTGATCGAAAGCCAATCCACATTCACGCTTACAATAAGCTTGGCGCTGCCACCATTCCGGCACAGATGCTGATTTCTAGAAACGATGTCCTCTAGAACAACGTGGTTGGATGTACAAAGTGCAGCACGCGATTTGTCGATGAGCATTACCTATTGCTCGTGAGAGCGAGAGATATTCCGCTGACAGCGGTGAGTACTCCGAGCGAGATGCTCTGGGAGTGGCTGGTGATGCTCCAAGGGCTGTCAAATGCGCCCGCAACATTGAATCGTCTTGTGACGCAATTGTTCAGGTCCCACCGGGCGTATGCACTTACATGCTTCGACGCCATCTTCGTCCACAGTCGTGCGGGCACGGGAGGGAAGATGTGGGAAACCTCATCGTCCATTTTGGAGCGGTGCTCGAGTGCATGCGCACGAATAAGCTGTATGCGAATGCAGATAAGTGCATCTTCGGCTCGGAAAAAATTCCCTTTTTAGAATGCTTCATTGGGAAGCGTGGCCTTCGAGCGGATCCCGCTAAGGTCAAAGCTATCGTGGACTGGCCAATTCCGAGGAACCAAAAGGACTTGCGCAAGTGGCTTGGCCTCGCCAATTACTTGCACGAGTTTAGCGCAAGTTATGCGGAAATAGCACGGCCATTTCTAATATCCTTAAGAAGGATACAGAATGGTGTTGGAATACCGAGTATCGGGAGACTTTTCACAGGGTCAAAGACAGCCTCCTTCATGCACCAATACTGGCGTTGCCAGACCCCGATCGTCATTTTAGTGTCGTCTGTGACGCTTCGGACTTTGTCATCGGCTGTGCACAGCTGCAGGCAGACGCCGAGGGGCGAGATCGGGTGATCACGTTCGAATCTCGCCAGCTTAAGGCTGCGGAGAAGAACTACCCAGTCCACGACAAGAAACTAATTGCGATGAAGTATGCACTTGTCAAGTTCAGGGTGCACCTGCTTGGCTCCAAGCCGTTTGTGATCTACACAGATCACGCGTCCTTACGAACTGCGGCTCAGTCGCCTCATCTCTCGCAGAGGATGGTCAGATGGCTCTCCTTCTTCTAAGAATATATCTTCGAGGTGAAGTATAAGCCAGAAAAGCAGAATGTTGATGCGCTGTCAAGCAGACCGGATCATGAACTTGCTCATGTCACGACGGTGACGTCGTCAGTGACGAATCTGATCCGCACCGCAAATGCGGGTATTGATATGTGCGTAGCGCTGCTACAGGCTCTCAGGAGCATGATTTTGGAAAGTCGGACAAGCAGTTGTCGTCGCGACTGCGCGCACGGTTGCACTAATATTCGCTGAATAACGGGTTGCTGCATTATAGCACCGATTCAATGGATACGCCACGAATTGTAGTTCCTCGCGACAAGGATTTGAAGTATCGTATTCTCTATGAGGCCCACGAAACCTCACTCAGTGGTCATCTTGGTCGTGAGAAGACCTACAGCTCTGTGAGTCGCCACCACTGGTGACCCAAGCTGTACAAATGGACGATCACCTATATGCGCACGCGTGAGACGTGTCAAAGGGCGAAACCCTCTCCAAACGCAGTGGCGCCGCTGGCCAGTTTACCGGTACCCTTTCGGGTGTTGGCAGTCCATGAGTATGGACTTTGTGTTTGGCCTCCCGAACGACTCGGCGGGCAACACGGTGGTGGTGGTTTTTATGGACCGTTTGATCAAGTCGGCTTATCTTGCGGCAGTGCCGGACACTATTGACAGTGTGGGTATAGCGACGCTGTTTGTCGATCGTGTCTTTCGACAATACGGACATCAGGGTGCTGAGCAGACCATCCGCAAACCGATGGTCAGACTAAGCGCGTTAATCGCGTCGTTGAGGTCGTTTTTTCAGCGTCTGCGCTGATACGCCGAAGCGCTGGAGCGCAATGCTGCCACTCGTAGAATTTGCTCTTAACAATGCAGTGCATTCATCTCGTGGCTATCAAACGTGGCTTATTAATCCTCGCTTCCCGGTGACGCCGCCATCTAAAGGCTCAGGGCTTGGTGAGGGGGGAATAGTCGGACGGATAGGTAATGTCAGTCCCCTCAACGTGCGTAAGGAAGTCGGAGACTTCTTGTCTACTAGATTGAGTTTCTAACGACACGTTTGCGATGCGATGGCTTAAAGCCAAGACATGCAGAAAGAATATGCGGACGGAAGAAGCAAAAGAAATGTTGAAATCGGATACCTGTTTTTATTAAATGCTATAAATCTTTCCGACACATGCAGTCTCTGCTGTCTGCAAGAAAAGCTTCGTCCACGGCTTATCGGACCTTTTGAGGCCTTGCGTATACGCTAAACCTTCCGAGAAGGATGTGCAGCCATCCGATGTTTCTGTAGGCTTGCTTAAGCCGTACTGGGACCCAGCGCAAGTGAACACGGAAGCGTTGGCACCTGGGCAGCGCTCACTGGCGCTTGGCCACCCAGATGCTGAACCAGCAACTGGTTTCGAGCACGGAATGTAACGATCTCCAATTCCAACTATGCCAGGCGGT